GAAAACAAGCTCCTGATCAATGCATCAAGCTTCTCGACTGTCTGAACAACCTGACCAACAGTAGAATTCCATTCTTGCTCAAGTATTGATGCCCTCTCAGCTACTTCTTTATGCAGAACTTCCACTTGATTAGAGATAGAGGAAGCCATCTCATCTGAACTTGAGTGCATTTCATCCAACTGTCTGTCCAATACACTAATACGTGGCTGATAGTCACCAAGCTTTTTAACAAGCTCACTGTTCTCTGCTCCAAGAATAGTACTGTGTTGCCTTACTGCTTCATACAGACCCAGAAGCTCACCCTTCTTTGCTTCAATATCACACACATGTTGCTTTATAAACTCATATAAAATAATGACTTCGATATTTGCTGCTTCAGAACTGATATTGTGTTCCTTCAGAGCTTCATAAGCAACCTTGAGCTCCCCAAGTGCATCATCAGCAAGATATGGATATGGCTGCTGCTGCCGCTCTAAGGATTGCCCTATTTTTTAGACAATTATTAAATAACAGCCCATTCTGGTTTGAATGTGCACCCTTCCTCCTTCTTCAAGTGAGATTCGTCTTTCCAAGCAACATCAATAAGATATCTCCAGTCATCCAAGCTCACTCCACTAGGCGGATGACTATACGGGTCATCAACACCCTTTTCCTCAAGTTCGAGGAACTCTTGCTTTAGATTGTACCTCCAATCCTTGTATAGCAAATATGCCTTTCTATCAAGAATTTGTTGAGCTTGTTCATCATTATCAAAATCATCCCCGATAACAAACTTGTCCTACAAACATAATAAGACAATTAGTACATCAATTAATTTAAGCAATTACAAATAACTTAATAACGACATTATGGGAAGATAAATCTCGTACTAGCACCGCTTGGATGACCGCATCTTTGGTACTTTCATTGATTTTCGTCCATGACTTCACGCTCTGAAGAGGGCACAACCGTCTAATTTGCAATCCCAACTCATTCGTCGCTGGGGTTGCATTCCCTCCTGTGATTGCGTTCAACACCCGATTGACATACACATGTAATTTCTCTCCTTTTTTCCTGGCTATTCTTTTTTGCACTCCTTTGCCCAATGTACGTCCTCGTACACGAGTTGATCTTTTTCGCCCTGCTACAAAAGGGGAAGCACGCCACAAATTACAAACAGATTTAAGGAAAGATGTTCGAGTATTGCTTGTTGCTTCAATTTAAAAAAAAAAAAATACATAAACACATATAAGCATCTTAATTACAGCGAAGACAATAACTGACTATGAAACTAATATTGTTAATTACAAGTGTACAACCCTTGGTTTCTTTTAAGTTTAGAACTCAACTAAATCAATGAACTTTATGTTTAAAAACATATGTTTAAACAGTGTGCCTTACTTGGGAACACAGAGTGCCTTTGTTAAAAATTATGCAGCCTACTTGGGAACAGTGTTCCAAAATCATCTGATTTTCCTGATTGCTAGCCTAAAGTAATAGCCGACATAAGACTTTAGCTGTCATAGGTCTAGGTCGCGTTATTTTTGTATTTTTCTCATCAGCTGAGTCAACAAGAATAGGTTTCTCTAAAGCAAGGGCTGTGTACTTCTCTGACAGCTTCTTCAGTAGTTGTTCCAAACACTTGGTACTACTGCCAGCAGAAACCACGTCCTCTGTAACAGAATCCTTGAGCAAATCATGCACCAAATCCTCCAATCTTCTTATCTCACCTTCAATATGCTCCTGATTTCTGACTTTCTCAACCAATTTCTCTTGCAAAGCAGATACCTCCTCCTGCAGTTTATCATTCTCAAGTTCAAATTGGACTACCTTCTCTGAGACCTTATCAAAATCACGAGTTAGAATCTCCAAACTATCAGAGGGATGCTCTTTTTCAACCAATTTCTCTTGCAAAGCAGATACCTCCTTCTGCAACTTATCATTCTGAAGTTCAAATTGGACTGCCTTCTCCGACACCTCATCATAATCACGAGTTAGAATCTCCAAACTATCAGAGGGATGCTCTTTTTCAACCAATTTCTCTTGCAAAGCAGATACCTCCTTCTGCAACTTATCATTCTGAAGTTCAAATTGGACTGCCTTCTCCGACACCTCATCATAATCACGAGTTAGAATCTCCAAACTATCAGAGGGATGCTCTTTTTCAACCAATTTCTCTTGCAAAGCAGATACCTCCTTCTGCAACTTATCATTCTGAAGTTCAAATTGGACTGCCTTCTCCGACACCTCATCATAATCACGAGTTAGAATCTCCAAACTATCAGAGGGATGCTCTTTTTCAACCAATTTCTCTTGCAAAGCAGATACCTCCTTCTGCAACTTATCATTCTGAAGTTCAAATTGGACTGCCTTCTCCGACACCTCATCATAATCACGAGTTAGAATCTCCAAACTATCAGAGGGATGCTCTTTTTCAACCAATTTCTCTTGCAAAGCAGATACCTCCTTCTGCAACTTATCATTCTGAAGTTCAAATTGGACTGCCTTCTCCGACACCTCATCATAATCACGAGTTAGAATCTCCAAACTATCAGAGGGATGCTCTTTTTCAACCAATTTCTCTTGCAAAGCAGATACCTCCTTCTGCAACTTATCATTCTTAAGTTCAAAATGGACTGCCTTCTCTGACACCTCATCATAATCACGAGTTAGAATCTCCAAACTATCAGAGGGATGCTCTTTTTCAACCAATTTCTCTTGCAAAGCAGATACCTCCTTCTGCAACTTATCATTCTGAAGTTCAAATTGGACTGCCTTCTCCGACACCTCATCATAATCACGAGTTAGAATCTCCAAACTATCAGAGAGAAAAGATATAAGACGCTGCAAGCGTGATTCAAGCTTTTCTGAGTCAATGCCAGTTCCATTCAGCTTAACGGCACCTTCAACATCTTCAACCAGCTTTAGAATGGTATCTGAATCAAGGCCTGTTTTCTTCAGTTTCTCCATTTCTTTTGCCATATCAATCAACTCCAAGTTCAGTTTATCGTTCATAGATTTGAATTGCAACCTCTCACCCAGAAGCACTGCCAGTTGCTCCATGAGGGTATCATAGTTATCAAGATGTAGAGGATCTATAAGGTTCTCATTTTGGTTAATGATCTGGCTTTGTTCTACATGCTGACATGAATCATTTACAAGCCTCTGAAGGTTACCATGGACCCCATGTAATACACCAATAGCCAATTCATTCTTTCTATGCAAATCATTGAACTTTTCAATCATGTCCTTGTATGAACTGCACATTGCTGTGTGATCTTTGCCAGAAGCTTCTAATTTTTCCTGCAGATTGTCAATCACTTTGGTTGCAGCATCAACAGAAGCAGTAGAAAACAAGCTCCTGATCAATGCATCAAGCTTCTCGACTGTCTGAACAACCTGAGCAACAGTAGAATTCCATTCTTGCTCAAGTATTGATGCCCTCTCAGCTACTTCTTTATGCAGAACTTCCACTTGATTAGAGATAGAGGAAGCCATCTCATCTGAACTTGAGTGCATTTCATCCAACTGTCTGTCCAATACACTAATACGTGGCTGATAGTCACCAAGCTTTTTAACAAGCTCACTGTTCTCTGCTCCAAGAATAGTACTGTGTTGCCTTACTGCTTCATACAGACCCAGAAGCTCACCCTTCTTTGCTTCAATATCACACACATGTTGCTTTATAAACTCATATAAAATAATGACTTCGATATTTGCTGCTTCAGAACTGATATTGTGTTCCTTCAGAGCTTCATAAGCAACCTTGAGCTCCCCAAGTGCATCATCAGCAAGATATGGATATGGCTGCTGCTGCCGCTCTAAGGATTGCCCTATTTTTTAGACAATTATTAAATAACAGCCCATTCTGGTTTGAATGTGCACCCTTCCTCCTTCTTCCTTTCCTCTGTTCAGTGCCTTTCATCTTTAGCTCGTCCTTTCTCATTGTTCTAGCAGTAGCACTCTGCAATGGGCCATCTCTCTGTTGTTTATCCTTGAAGGCTGAGTTCTCCACTGTAGACAAAGCCTTGGACTGGGCTATACAGTCACTCAAATTTGAATTAACCACCCTCTTTAACCACTGAACCAGGCATACAATCATTACCTCCATCTACATCATCTGACAACCCTTCCACTGTGTGATTTCCATTGATTGACCCTTCAACACTTTTTGCCACATCATCCTCGTCATCCTCCTCTGCAGATTTACCACCTTCCACTACCTTCATCTCCATTTTCATCTGTCTCCGTATGTGTAGCATCATCCTGACCCCTGTTTTTGGAAAAGTGATCGACCTCATGTGGCAAATTAGATTCCATGACTTCATTTTTCTAGTAGCTATAATTGCTATTACAATAACAGTTATTGACTACTGGGTCTTCATACACTCGCACTTGATAAGTCCTCGCCTTTCCTACTAGATTAATCACTGTAACTAAGATGGGCAAGTCAATTAGGGCTCGATAAATAATTTTAATTCACTTCTTTCGACTATAACATCACTCGAAATAGGACTACTAATATATATGCAATTAGTGAGGACCTGATTTAACAGATCAACTCATAAGACCCATAACTCAGTGAAATTGAAACCCACCCCCACTAGTGGCCCAAGACAAAGATCTTCTATAAAAGGTCAAGAAATGGACTGTGGAGGTAAAAATTATCCCACATATATTAATCAAGAGATTAATAAAGAATTGAGCCACACCATTCCTAATTTGCAAAAAGAATAAACAGTTAGTGCCTCCTGACCAACGGTTGTCGGCTGAAAGGCACTCTGACGATCAAGTTAGATAGCTTATATCTAAATCAAATTGAATAAGTAAATAGAATAGTTTAGGCATACCTCCTCCCCTAGAGTTGAAGATTACATCCCTTTATATAGGCTAACTTGCCACTCGTTTTGTCTAATGAGGTTAAACTACCAGTTTGGTCTAATGAAAATGAGCCACTTGTATGGCTAAAAATTCATCTGATGCATATATGCCAGAACAACTTGGCGAGTTGGCAAGTTGCATTTCAAGGTGTTATTTTATTATCTTGATTCTATTCCCATGTACGCATTGTGTGGGCCCACCTCACATGGGTTAAGTTTTATCCCTCCACAATTGCCCTCAAGTTTTTGTTTCTGTTGATCGACGTAAGAAGATGTGAAAACTTTTCTTATCTCTGGTAGACTCTTGTACCTTTGTTAGTTCTATAATCAAGGTAGTATTCTATCCTATACTTGTCATAAATTGGCTTTATTTGCCTTTATCTTGTAGAATGTGAATATTTTTCACGTACCCTCCGATCTTTTTTGTGTGATACCTTTGATTTTGCAATCATTCTAACGTGGTCACTTATTTTATGTATGTTATCTTTCTTGTTTTTCCAATCTACTGCTTTTGACAATTATGTTGCTAAGACCATCATAGGTCTTTTATTCCCTCGGCTAGATAAGATGATGACCTAGTCGCTGAACTACTGCCCTTAAGTAGACTTTAATAGTAGATGCTCATAGGTTTTCCCTTGCCCCAGGCAAGATAAGCTGACAACCTAGTCGTCAAACTACTACCTTTAAGTAGGCTTTGAGAGTAGACCTTCGTAGGTCTTTCCTTGCTTTTGTTTGGCAGTTGGCTTTGATGTGTTGTTTGGTCTTCCATCACCCTTGATATTGTACAAGCATGGAATGTGTCGGAGAGATTGACTTTTGTACTGATTGATGGTTTTCTATGAGAGCCAAGCATACTCTTTTGATCCTAGTGTTGATAATACTGCTCAATATGCCTAGCTTGGCTAGGACTTTAGTGTTTGATGCCTAGTAAGACCAAGGCTTACTCATTCTTTGATGCTTAGCTTGGCTAAGGCTTAATTTTTGATGCATAACTCAGCTAAGGCTTACTCAATTTCTAATGCTTAGCTCGGCTAAGGCTTATTTAATTTCCGATGCCTAGTAAGACTAGGGCTTACTTATTTTCCGATGCTTAGCTCAACTAAGGCTTACTCATTTTTTGATGCTTAGCTCAGCTAAGGCTTACTCAATTTTCGGTGCCTAGTAAGACTAAGGCTTACTCAATTTTTGATGCCATGTAAGACTAGGGCTTACTCAATTTCAGATGCTTAGCTTGGTTAAGGCTTACTCATTTTCCGATGCTTAGCTCAGCTAAGGCTTACTTAATTTTCGAAGCTCACTTATTTTCCAATGCCTAGTAAGACTGGGGCCTACTCAATTTCTGATGCTTAGCTCGGCTAAGGCTTACTCATTTTTCGATGCTTAGCTTAGCTAAGGCTTACTCAATTTTCGATGTCTAGTAAGACTAGGGCTTACTTAATTTCTGATGCCTAGTAAGACTAGGGCTTACTCAATTTTTGATCCTTAGCTCGGCTAAGGCTTACTCATTTTTCGATGCTTAGCTCAGCTAAGGCTTACTCAATTTTTGATGCCTAGTAAGACTAGGGCTTACTTATTTTCTGATGCTTAGCTCGACTAAGGTTTACTCAATTTATGTGTGCCTAGCCTGGCCTCTTGCCCCCAAGTTCAAGAAGACTAGGGCATATGGCGAACTTTGCTAAGTGTATGCAAATGGTGAGTTGTACTAAGTACAAGAAAATATCAAACTATGCCATGAGACAATTACTTTCTTCATGGTGTGATGACTTCGACGAATTGTATCGAGACGAGCTTTGGATGTTTAAGTTTGGCAGCCTTCGCTCTATCTTGGTGAAGCTTATTTTTGACAAATAGAGTTCATTCTTTCCAGTCAATATTTGTGCTCAGAGTTGTGTACACCATGTTATTCTCAAGCTCTTGATCTTCGTCACCTGATGTGATGTAATCACAGAACTTCTTGATAGCTGAGGTATTCTATTACTTCTTGGATTTTGGCATGTGGTGCATTGAAATAAAGACTGGGCTAGTGAGAGCCTACTTCTTTATTAACTCAACTAAATCAGGCAGGTTATTGCCAATAATTTTATTAGGCAAGAGGTATTGCTCAAATCATGCTCCTACTATTTCTTGTGGATGACTCTCCTTGAGATAGCCTTGCTTCATATCTCTTGTGATGTTGTTGTGGTTCAGAGTTTTTTTTATCTTTATTGAGATCGAATTGAATTCCTGTGCCTAAACCTCTATGCATGGGCCTTTAGATTGGAATTTTGTATGCCCAACAAGATTTTATGTTCTCAATATAATCTACTTTTGACTCAACTACGATGCTAAATAGCATTTGTTCTCTGCGAAGGAAATCTTGTCAAATAACTTCTTAAATGTGAGATATTGTTGGGTGATGTGAACGATTGCTTTAGCATTTTGATTTTTGAAATCGGGAGATTAGTCATCTATTTGGATGCACGATGTCTGATTTGTGTTTGACATAGGTTAACTTAGGGAGTTATATTTGCTGAAGCTAGATGTCGTGGACATAGTCCAACTTGTTGAATTTGATAAATGATGGTTGAGAGACTGTCGTTGAATCGCAAAGTAGCGGTGATCGGTTACAATTTAATCCATAAGATCTGACCATGGTTGTGTAGACGCGCCCTCGGGCCTCTCTACAGTTCGGACTCGATTTGGTGTCATGGTCCTGTATCTAATCTCGCGGAGTGCAATGCAAGACCGATGAATCATCAAAGAGTCCAAATCCGGCAAATCATTTTTGAAAACAGATTTTTTTTTTGGAAAGAAGTACCAAACATGGACTGCTTTGCCAGATACAGAGTCGCAACCTAAATATTTTATTTTGGGAAATTTAGGAAACCCCGACTCGTTGCCTAAGGCCACGTGTCCGTCATCACCAAAGTTGCCTCGGCTCGGGAACTTGGGTACGATTGGAGAAGGTCACTTCGTGAGCACCCCTGCTCGCCCGATCAAAGATCGGCCTCTACTAACCATGATATCTAGTTTTGAAAACATTATGCGTTCTTATTCCGGTTATTAGCCTAGATTTACTATGTGATGCGCACAGCATACAAGTATAGACTGGGTCGCCTAAATTGGTACGAAACATCTCATGTTTGTTTTGAAAACGGTTTGCTACTCGCAAGTAGGCTAAAATGTGGATTTGCCACCCTCAGGTGAGCTTAGAAAACATGATGATTTGCCACTATCTAGTGGGCTTAAAACTCGCAGTCAATGAGTTGTTCCAATCCAAATAACCCAACCTTCACCCACAGGCATTCAGGCAGGTATATCACATAAGCACATAGCCTCATAGTAAGCATGCTATCATGGCAGTCATTCACACACATGCAAGGATGCTAAGGCATAAAACTTACCGAGTACTCCAAGCCAAAACAAAAGCTATGTTAAAAATCCATGCATGATCCTAACTATACAGAAATGCCTAATGCAACACATGCAAAAATACAACTACAATAGGCTCCGCTATTCTAAACATGGCATATGATGTGCTACAGCTAACACGTATTCAATTTGGAATTGAAATACAAATGCAGTTAGTATGATGCGCCGAGCCCGGTGCATGCAATACAGATGAATGAATTCAAACATGCGAGCATAAGTATGCTAATTGAAACATGCCCTAATCTAACCATCATAAGCTGATAAATAAAAAGGGAGAAAGACGTGGGGTTGGAAGACATACATCACACACACACACACATACACTTATTACAGTTGTGCCCTCGCTCGGAGGGTCCGAATAAATAATATACAGTCCGAATAAATACAACAGTCCGAATAAGTACAAAATCCTAATTAATTAACAAGTTAATCTAGGAAAGCAGTAAATGACACGCAAATCCATGGACCGCCTCAGCTCTGATTTCGAATGATGAATGATGTATGCTTGAGTTGCCTTTGTCGGGAAATTCCTTGCGATGCCCCGATTTGCCTCTGTTTGCAATTAATGCCGGAATGCTGTGCAACGCTCCGAAAGGCCGCTGATTTCTGATTTATTGCAACAGAGAGCAACAAAGGGGCATGGCAAAGTATTTTCACATATGCATGCATGACTACTCTTCGGGGAGTGTAGTCCTCGATCCTCGTGCCACCAATCACGCATCTCGATGCATGATGGTCGAGGAGTCGAATTGCACGACTCAATATGAGATGAATGCACATGAAAACACAACAAGACCTAAACTCCATCATGGGTAATCCGGAGTGTCGGTGACCGGGAATTGAGACATGTTCCGTCACTCGCAGTACGAAACGTCCCTCGTTTCCCGTGCTTGGGCTAACTCCTATCCCAAACACAATGCAAATGAGATGGCATACATAATGCA